GGGGTGATAGTCTCCGACTGGGGTGATGTGTGCATGTTTCAGAGGGGGAGGGGAGAAAGCTTGCGGAGGAGAGGCGAGTGACTTGAAGCATGTGCGGTGAGGGAGCGTAGGATGGAGGGGGAAGGGAGGTCGTAGGAGTTGTGATGGGGATGAGGGTAGAGGGGGCAGGTGGTGAGGCGGGCAATAGAGAGGATCTTGGAGGTCTTCCTCGATGGTTGTAAAGGTTCAATCGGTGCGGGAGTGTTGGGGGAGCTTCCGTATGAGGAATGTTAGGGTGGGGTCGGATGATGAGGTCCAGAGCAGTTGGTTGGCGGTCCGTGGGAGCAGGGGTGATGGACGGGGCTAGCTGAGGTGGGTGAGTGAAGGGGATGTTGGAGTTGGAGTTTCCTTGAGCAGCGACGAAGTCCCTGTGCCGGGTTATGTCCGAGGGTTAAGGGGGGATAAGGGGCTGGGGGTTTGTTGGGTGGGGGTGGGGGGGGTAGGGGGGAGGGGGGGAGGAGGGGGAGGGTCGGGTGAGGATTTGGAGGAGAGGCCCTTGATGAGGGTCAAGAAGTAGGCCTGTTTGGCAGCATGGAGGGAGGAGGTGTAGGTGTTGTGGAAGGCAGATTTGTAGCGGGTGAAGGCTTGTTGGGATTTGGGTTTTGCGAGCACCATAGTCGGCTCCAGGGCACGACTGTGTCGTTTGAGGGTTTTGGTGTGATCAGTCTGCCCCAAGGGCTGGAGCGGGTCGGGGTCTGATGTTGAGTGTGGTTAAAGGCACTAGTGAGTCAAGGGTGGTGTGAGAGCGCGTTGTTGTAGGCGGTCATAGCCAAGTCGAGGGGCAGGACCAGGGGGGAGGATGTGGTCGTGGAGTTGATCAGCTGCAGAGTGGAGGGGGAGGCAGGGTTAAGGTTGCGGAGGTTACGGCTGGTAGTAGTGTGATCATTTGGAAGGTAGGCGTTGGGAGGACGGAGGAGATAGAGAAGGTGATCAGGTTGTGGTCAGAGAGAGGGAAGGGGGTGTTAGTGAGGTTGTGGGGGAGTGCAGTGGTGTGGAGAAGGACAAGATCAAGGGTATTACCATTGGAGTCGGTGGGGTGGTGGATTGTATGCACTGTGCAAGTGTAAAGGAGGAGGTTAAGTGGAGGTGACGATGGGCTGTGTCCGGTCGGGTTGTCGAGGTTGACACAGGGATGTTGAAATCCCCAAGGATGATGGTGGGTTAGCTCAGAGGAGAGGAATAAGGGTAGCCAGGAGAGAGAAGTCATCCAGGAAGCGGGGTATAGGATCCAGGAGGGCCGGTATATCACAGCAATCTTCAGGGGGGTTGGGGAGAATAGTCGGACGCAGTGGGCCTCGAAGGAGAAGGAAAGGATAGGGAGGGGGGGTTTGGGAGGACTCGGAAGGTGCTCAGCGGTGACAGGAGCAGACCAACCCCACCACCTTTACGACCGTTAGGCCTGGGTGAGTGGGTCCAGGTGAGACCTCCGTAGGGTGAGTGCAGCAGGGGAGGTAGAGTCAGTGGGCTGGATCCAGGTTTCCGTGATCGCAAGGAGGTTGAGGGACATGTGGGGAAACAAGAGGTCGTGGATGGCGGTAAGTTTGTTGCACACCGATCGGGGCGTTCAGGAGTGCACATGAAAACGGGGGGGAGATTTTAGGGAGCAGGGGGGACAGATACAAGGTTGCGGGGGTTGCGGGTTAGGACGTGGAGGCGGGAGAGGGTGTTGTGCGGGTGAGGGAGGTGGTGGAGGGCCAGGATTCGGGGAGATGTCCCCCGTGGTTATGAGGAGAATGGTGAGAAAGGTGGCGTGGGAGCGGGATGTGCAGGAGCGTGAGAAACTCCTAGTGGAGGTGTTGGGGGTCAGTGGGAGAGTGGAGTAATAGGAGGAGGTGGTAGGTGCCGTAGAGGGGCGAAGGAAGCAGTGAGGACACAATATACAATTTTTTGGGAGGAGCAGAGGGATTATAGTGAATGGATTTTGGGAATGGAGGAGAGGAAAAATGAGGAGGAGTGGAAGAGGCATTTTGGGGAGGGGATGAGAGCAATAGTAGGGAGATGATAGCAATTTAAGGGGGAGATGTACAAGTTTTGGGGTGGAGCAGAGGGGTAAAGAAATGAGATTTGGGAACAGAGGATAGTAACGTGATAAGGAGAAGAGGGGATGTATTGTATAAAGGTACACGGAGTGGGTCTCAGGCATGTAAGAGATGTTTCCCAGGGTGTTTGCTTGCAGTCTGTCCAGCGTGCAGTAGAGTCTCTTGCTGTTGTTGTGTCTTCCTGCTGCTTAAGTTCTCCTGCTTCAGATTAACTGCTTCGCACTCGTTCTAAGCCGCACTCAATCTGAAGCAGCACCCCCCATCAGAAACTGTGCCCCCCATCAGAGATCTCCCCCATGAGATATATATATATATATATATACACCAATATACACACACACACACACACACATATATATATACACACACACACACACATATATACACACACACACACACACACACATATATACACACACATA